GATATCGAGTAGTATGGCACTACTAGGGGACAGATCCCCACTGGCAGAATTCTGTTGTCAAACCTAAACCAAGCACGACCCCTGGTGGCAGAAGAAGGGCATTGCAGCAGACCAATCATCTCAAACAAGCAGTGTGCCAAGAGGTCATCGGCAAGTGACAGTCAAGCCAAGAGAGCACAAGGAACACAGGAAGGTGTAGGCGGGAGGGGGCATGAGGGGGGCAATTTCCAAGGACAGCTGCAGCCATTCCAATAGATTTGACCCTGGAGCAGCAAATTACAATCATCCATAGATCCAGTACGGCAAGCCTGGTCCCCAAGAAGCACAAGGTAGAGCAGTGTTTCCCAACCCAATCCTCGGAGACCCCCAGACAGTCTATATTTTTGCTCCCAGTCGGTAGGGAAGTGGGAGGGAGCAAAAATGTGGACTGTCTGGCAAGGAGCTGGGTGGGAGCAAAAATGTGGACGTCTATCTGGGAGCTGGGAGGGAGCGAAGACATAGACCATCTGGGGGTTCCCGAGGACTGGGTTGGGAAGCACTGAGGTAGAGCATACCCTGGAAGGTATACTATCCCATCTCAAGGCAAAAATAACAATCATCTCACTATTAGTGTATAAATGAACGACTCTGGATACCTTACATACTGCAACAGCATTTACCACAGGGTGCCATATACAGTAGAAGTGAACAACAAGTCACAATGACTCAAACACATCATTAACTAAACTACAATAGCAAGACTTTCTGCTCTAGCTAAACCACACTTCAATTAACCTTATTTGTCAGACACGTCTATGAGAAGATACGATATAGAATACAGGATAAAAAAACCTTTTTAAATTATACTCTATACACCCACACACTCTATACTTTGGTTACTACCATCCCACATTATTTCACACTGTCACTGCAGGTCAAAATACCATAATTAAATATGAAAAGTCCCACATACATTTTGAAATTGTGTTGACGGGCTGTGCATAGTTTTTATATCCTTGTCAAAAGACTATTATCTAATTAATAATTATTCTGATATAATCAAAACGCTCACCTACAAAAAAATGTGTTTCTGGGTGATTTTATCACAGATCCGCAAGGTTTTTTTAAAAAGTCATAAAACGCCTCTTTTAAATCTTTAAAAAAAACATCTCGAAGAGCAGACAAGCAAGCCTGCATATCACACGATGAATCTACTCCCAAGTGTACTATCACAAACATACCAGACAGCTGAGAGACAGCATCTTTCATCTTCTCCCAGAGAAATGCGATTTTTTTTTTTCTTTAATGGAGACTGATATCAAATATTTATCACCTTGAGTTCTGCTGAGGTAATTGTTTCAACCATAAAAACAATCACTGACAAGGTCAGGCACAGCTAGCTTTCAGGAAAACGGGACATTTCAGGATAACGTGTCTTTAACCTGACAGCAAGTTATTGATATTTAAATGAGATGGAAACAAGGACATTGCCACAGAGTAGGATGACACTGATCACAATTACACCCATCTGTCCTGAACTGTCTTTCTGCAAGAGCATGCAATAGTAGGTCATTTATTACACGATACCCCTCTTCAAATGCATCTCCGGAGTACAAAAATTTGAAGATTTGATAAAAGTTAAAAAGATAAATGTATCTTATCACAAAGTCATATTCCATCAATCTCCCCAAACTAATTATCCAGAACAGGGGTTGTGTTGAGCACGGAGTCATTTCAGGGACAAGATATGTAGACATTACAGGGATGGGATATGTAGACATTACAGGGACGGGATATGTAGACACCTCATGCCTTTGAACCGTGGCACATATTAGAAAGTTACAAGGACTTTGAGTGGCATTCGAACCCTGGGAGTTTGAGGCCAAGGTACGAGACCACAGGCTATGGCATAATTATCTCAAGTTGTATCTTTTGCATATAAGCAATCAAGGACAAAACACTAAAAACGTATGACATCAAGGTCCATGATATGATGGCATTAAATGACGTTTGCTAGTGAGTAACAATGGTAGCATTCATTTTAAATGATTTCAGCATTTTTAAGTAGGTGTTTATTAGAGAATCATTATTCTCTAATGAAACTGCATGATCAGGTTAGGTATCACAAAATGAATGCATTTTAATATTGTTAAATATTATTACTAAACTGCATAAGTAATGAAGCCTTAAAGCCAACCCTTACAACTAAAAACACTAAGATATTTTTGCAGTTGCAGGTGTTTGGAAGGAACAACACTGTGAAAGCAAACCCTTCTGTACACAGATTATGAGAGAACATGAGAGTGAAATGAGAGTGAAAACGGAAAATGAACATTAACGGAAAGCTGCCTTTGCCGAGTTGCTGATCGTGTGATGTTGTACCATGAGAAACAGGGTACGTGTTAACACAAGTGCAGACATCGACTGTTTGGGGTGGCGTGTTATTTCTCACAAACACGCTGCTTGTGCTGAAATATAACCGTGGTTTGGGAGTCCTCTTAGCCGAGGTGCCCCCTGTCCTGATCTGCTGGTGTTCAGCTCACAGAACAACCGTCTCCCTTGAAGAGCACTCGGGACTGGAGCGATGCCAAATGGACCGGTTCTGCCACTGCTTATGCGCTCTACCAAGACGGCTGTAAACAAAACGGCAACATGACGAGCCGAATGAGATACACACCTCGTGTTGCGACACGCTCCTTCTTCTTTTGGCAACCGAGGAATGATATCAGGCCCCCATACACGAGTGTAATTAGTGTGATTTTCGACCCTCCGCCATACAGCAGCGCCTGCTGCTTAAACTGAGCAAAGTTAGCATTAAAATGTCAGAAAAGTTCACCACACTGTAGCAGCTAAGCGGGATAGAAAATGGATGGAACCTAGACATCAGTTATTCAATATCATATTATTGAGCAGTTGCAGATTTTTTGAAGAAAAAAAGACAATCTGCTTACATTATTATTATTTTTTTTAACTGACTTGATTACTAATGGAAGCACGGTGAGCTTCCTTTGTCCGCCCTTTACATAATTTTTCTGAAAGGCAGTTATGCAGGTAGGTACTTTAATGCATGTTACACCTCACTGACGCATAGAGAAGGCAAAGACCTCGGGCGGTCGAGTAGCAGACATTCGGCGTGGAAAAAGCCATGCCCTTCTAACGATCTAATGATCTGCATTCATATTTATGACAAGTGCATTATGTTTTTTACCGCGTTTTAGTCCCACTGCACTTCCGACTGCATTCTTGGGCTCATGCATTTGCAACAGTATCCATACTGCTCACATTACGGAAATAATTAGTTCCTCTTATGACCTTCTAACCCATCCATGGACGCTCAATAACCTCTTACCCATTTATGGCTGGTTCCGCAGAAGCAGAAGGTGTAAGGCTCACACACACCCTGGATGGCACACTGGGCTGCCCCCAGGCTCACACACACCCTGAGTCCCCGCTCACACAACAGGGCCTGGATTTGAACCACCAGCCCCGGGGGAATCGGGTAGTTAGCCGTACTTAAATGCCGTTATCGGTTTATGTTACGCCAAGCGGCAGGCTGGGGGCGGTTAATATCATACGCTAGAGAAACCACCGAAAGCTTGTTACAGGCCTTAAGTCTCCCGATTCAACACATTAATCCAATTCAGCATTCTCCCTCGGATTTAAGTGTGACTGACGGACAGGTATTCCCCTGTAAACTCCAAACGCCCGTGACCCGCTCCGAAACTGGGGCCACTCTGAGCACCCTGCAGCCGAGTGGCGAGAACAAAGGCGAGAGGCATTTTGTCACACCCCCCGCCCCCCGGTGGACAGGCCGTGCTACGGCCGCGGCATTTCAAGGGCGGCCATGTGCGATTCGGCATGCGCTTTGATGTCAGCACCGGGCCGCATTTGCATAGGAGAAGGAGCGGCGACAGCTACATGGGGATCTTTAAGCAGATGGGTGAGACAAATCTGTGCGGTTATTATCTCCTCTCACCATCCAGGTAGCTGGGGGGGGCGCTCCCAAGTCCCGCGCCGTCTGATCCGCTTCCAGACTCACGGTGCCCCTCGGGGATCGGCGGGTCTGCCCGCGCAAAGCCGGATTTAGCCACAGCGGTGGGGGCGGGGCCTCTGGAGTACAGACTTTCAAAGACTCTCTCCATCAAAAGGTGACTAATAACCTCGAACCCGCTGCATGTGAAGAGGGAGAACTGACATTTCACCATCTTGCGCAATGCCGCAAGACTGCTGGCCAGCCGGCATTCCTCCCTTAAACGCCTCTCCCTCACGTCAAGATACTCCACTGTCATTTTTTTTTCCTAACACACCTACAGCTATGCTTAGACTACGGTTTGAGATCAATGATGAATTATCGTTTAGCGGGGGCTGGTCGATTAGTTAAGGATATGGACGTGAGTCCCAGGAGGGCCCTCCCAGGGGAGATTAAAAAAAAAAGCTGTAGAGACATCTCTGGTTTTCAACCCCTTCCGTCTCAGAGGCGAGGCACGATGTTTTGACTCGCATTTCTCAGGTTTTCCTCCAGAGAATAAAAATCTTTGAGAACTTCACTGAAGCCTCAGCTGGATGTAAACAGCAGATCCCAGGGGAAGCTGAAAGAAGCTGCAGTTTATCTTCCCCACCAAGGATATCCGCACATTAAAGTCTCAACTGCGTAGCCTGACCTCCAAAGATGACAAGTTTCATTCGTTTCTCCTGTGACTCAAGAACACATCTCATTTTTAAATTACTATAAACTAACTACTTAATCTAATATCTTTTTTTCTTCCACATGAATTGTAAGATAAATAAGAAAAAACATTCAACATTCGATATCAAGAAGTATCGATATCAAGAAATATCCATACCGTTATACAACTAGAGCGAACATACTTAGCAGTTAAAACATTTCATACGCAAATTGCTTCTCCTATGAAAGCAAATCAGATCACTGGATTAATATTTAATGGCTGATACAGTAACTGTCATTTTTGCAATCCATTATAAAGTCAATGTAAACACACGATGATGTATGGATGCCTTACAGTGGCATTGGAACTGATATCTCCTTCATGTCCTTTAACATCTTCAGGAGGTTTGGGGAGATGTCGACAAGTCGGACAGCAGCTGATATTTGTTCTCACCGTTCTCACCTTAGAAGCAGAACCAGAACCGAAATCAACACGAACGACCTCACATTTCTGGAACAGGCGTAGCTGATACATTATTTTTAACTAAAACACAAGCAGTTACCAAAATTCTGATACCTTCTATTGTCATAGTTTATGTCTTAGCAGTACAGGTCTGACAGATTTTTATATTTTAAAACACATCCTTGTGTAGCTGTCAGATAGCTCTGGTTCAGAAGACACTCGATAGGTCATGGTCCACATGCACGGAAGTCAAAGTACACACACGTCAGACAGACAGACAGACCAGTGGAGTGAATTTTACTACGAAACGGCAGTCCTGGACCACAGCAGGCTTATTTTAAAATATGTTTTATTTCCACCCATGCATGCATGCACTTTCCATAACAGCTTATCCAGTCACGGCGAGACTGGAGCTTATCCCATCCAAGCTGCCCCTGGCACATACCCAGTCCATCGAAAATGTTATTTACATTTAATATATTAAAAACTGAATATGGCCAAAAAAAAAAACTAACTTGCAACTCAGCAGAAGTTGGTATATTGGTTTAGGACCTGGACTTTCCCTAACCTAAACTGGATGTTGCTGGTCTGTGACCCAGGAAGTACCCCGCTGTGGCACCGAAGCTGAATCAGGCCAGTGAAGTATACAATTGAATCAAAGGCCAAAAAAAACAGCTAACCAGCTATACTGTATGTAATACATACTCAGTATGAACCAATGAGCTACACGGCAAACCTCACTACGGCATATCATATTAATTCAGTGGGGACGTCATTTTGAGACGTTTTTCCACACTGGGGTGCAGTAACAGAATTTCAGGCCTCATCCACATCCCTTCTCACCTGCAGCATTGTCTCCATCCTCTGAGAAGCTGCACCACTACAGGTCAGGTGATCCTTCAAAGACCTCGAGAACATCGCCTCCCACGATGGCCATTCTGGATGCCCCGGCTAAAGACAAGACAGACGTCCTTCAATCAGACTCGTGCTGTCGCAACTTAAACACTCACTTCTGGTTTATTTGCCACATGGATATAAACCAGACATTTAATGTAACAATCTGGATGCAAATGCGACCACAACTAACACCACTCAATTTGTAATAAAACAGGTTTTAGCTACAACCTTAAACTGTCAGGATCCGTAAATTCACAAAATTTGCAGATATTTTCCTAGTGATTGCCAGTAATAATACATTTACTAATAATTGTAAGACATTTAATGCACATTTGACATAAACCCAACTTTCACTGTAAAATCAGAACAAATTGCCTGCTTAATCGTTTACGTTGTAAAGCTGCATACAAGCCAATTAAATGTATTAAAGAGTTATACAGCCGCATCGGGCAGCGTGTTCAGTCTGCGGCTGCTCGCGGGGGGGGGGGGCAGCATAGATATCTTAGCAAGGTGTGTCCTTCTCCAGAAGGAGACAGCAAACTTGACATCCTGATATTGTTCCACCATCTCCACTTCCCAGGCTCAGCTATGACCCTCAGTAGCGCTCCGATCGGATCCTCGGAAACGGCCCGTCTGACGGGTCACAGCAAGAACCCATGAGAACTTCAGCAGCGCAGAATGTTGGAGCGAGAGAGGAATATTACGGTGGTGAACAAAGAACGGAGCAGTGCGGAGAGAGGAGAGGTCTTGACTTCGGATGTCACGTCCAGGGCAATTCCCGATCGATGAACTTGGACTCCTGTCTGGGCTCAGATTGTTAATAAATCAAGCACACCGACATTGACTTCCTCCGCCGGCCCCTGGAGGATGGGCTCTCCCTGTGAGTCTGGTTCCTCCAAAGGTTTCTTCCTTCTAGGGAGTTTGTCCTCGCCACTGTCACCTCTGGCTTGCTCTTTGGGGGCACTGGGCAGGGACAATATAAAGTGCTTTGATGTCATATTGTGAAAACGCACTACATAAATAAATATGAATTGAACTGAACTGAATATACTACAGTCTGTATAATACAATACACTCGGTGAGCCCCCCTCCCCCCCCCTGCCCACTGTGAGCCCACACCTGCTCAGACAGCAGATTAGAGCATCCTGCATCCTGGACAGGGGCAGGAGGACCTCTGCCTTCTCTCCTGGTGGTTTCCCACACCTGTCAAGGTCTTGGTTCAATAACTAGCCACTTGGCTGTCCGACTAAGCTCACAGAACTCTCTGGAAGCGTGCATTGTGCCGGAGCAGCAGGGCCCCCCTCGCCCCCGCCCCTGCCACCCCCTCTCCCCCCCCCACAGAACTCTCTGGAAGCGTGCATTGTGCCGGAGCAGCAGGGCCCCCCTCGCCCCCGCCCCTGCCACCCCCTCTCCCCCCCCCCCCCCCCCCCCGCCCCCCCCCCCCCCCCCCCCCCCCGATTTCCCATACGCCCAGGCACACTTTCACGCCTCCCTGGGGTGCTATCAATAATGCAGGGTGACGTCCCCCCCCCCCTTCAGTTCTCTAAGCCTGTGCCGTGGCTGACAGCATCATTACCATGCGTCCACGGTCATCAATAAACGGGGGGGTGAGGGGGGGGGGTCCGGGTCACTGCCAAGGCGCATCCCCTGGCTGTTAGGGCCTGTGGTGTTCATGGGGGACAACCTGTTCTGCTTAATTTCTCAAGCATCCACCTGTCTGCAGGAAAAGAAATGCCACCATCCCACTGAATTGTACTGCAGGGGGAGGATTTTATAGCCAGGAAAATCAACTAACTCCCTACACAGGCATGCAACTTCTCAGATAAAAGACACACCCAGGGCACCATGAGCGCCACCCCAGTGGCTGACTCCTGATACTGCGCCACCAGGTGCCCCCCCCCCCTCATAAAGCATGGATCCTCCTCATAAAAAAAATAAAAATAAATCAATTAACTGCAACGCATAGTAACATAAGTTAAAACTGTAAGGACTTGAAAGCTGTGCCCTGCTACACAATATCTGCCATTGTTGATTTGGGAATGGATGCTACAGGCCAGGTAGCGCTAAATCTAACAAACTAATTCAGTGAGCGACTGGAGTGTCTTAAAAAGCATCACGGTCAATTACAGCTAAAATGAGTGGCGTTTTAAGCAGGAATTTATGCCTTTTTAAGACACTCCAGTTCATGCCAATTTATGCCTTAAAAGAAATATTTAGATATGCATTTTTAAATATATTTGAACATATCATCTGTAGTTAAGATGTACTGCATGGTGTATACGCCCAAAAGTACAAGATAGGGGGCTGTGCTTTGGGTGTAAAAGTGAGGTATTTTTCACTACCTTTAACCATGCTTTTTTCACATTTCAATGTTCATATTCATTGAAAATTTCACCAGAGGCACAGTTCACTAGACTAAACACATCTTACACTGGGCATGTTATTAGAAAACCCAGCGTGCTGGAGAAGACCAGCCCGCTTTGGACAATGGAACATAAATGAGGAACATGATGAGCAGTAAGATGATTGACTCAACTGTATCATTAATTAACAAGCCATTTGGACGCAAGATAACTGGACCGAAGACAGAACATTCTGGAAGAATGCTGTCCATATGGTAGCCTAGAGTCAACACTGACCTGACAGCACATAATAGTAATATTGCTGAGGTGAAAGGAAAAATTGGGAAAGAGTTTGATCAATTATTGGAATTACCTAAGCAAATAAGGAGAATATTGTATCAATTTGGTTAAGAAACTGTGTTTGTACCCAAAGGTTCCTGACCTGAGTATCAAGAAGGACACTAGAGTTTGAGAAGGGGGTTCTCCAAATTATTTTAACAAAAATATTTTAAATATAATATCTTAAAATAAGCCAGGGTGCGAGCTAAAATCAAGTCATAAATAAAAAAAATGTAAACAGAAAAGTGAATACTCACCACATGGGCTGCCATTCATCCAAAATGCCTTCATAGACAACAGCGGAGCAGTGTCTCATAGTGCCCTGACCATTAAAGAGGTCATTCCTCCACCGACCCTGTCAGAAATGCAACACCACACTTAATGCCTGCAGAGAAACCAAACCATCTGAACGTTTCACTGGAGGCACAACAAGGATTTTTGGGCCTCAGATCTCCAGGAATTAGAGAGAAACAGCAAAGAGGAGGGTATCGGGGGCAGGAAGACAGGGACCCCAGTCCAAACCACCCGGCATCGGCGGGGATCAGCATTCGCCAGCAAAAACAGAGAAACTGGAATCAGCTGCAAACTGCAGGCAGACAGTGATACTTTACAGGTTGTGGGTAACAATGTTCTTAAGGAGCACTACTGTTGTCTTGGGCAACCAACGCCTCTGTTTTGATAAGATAACATGGAAATAATGTGAAGTGTTTCATGCACCGTGCTGGGCTGGTGTCTCCTGCCCTCTGCTTACTCAGTAAAAGGGTAAAATCTATGACCTTTGCACTAGATAAATGGTTGGAGAAGAAGGATGGGTGAAGCATTTTTCTTCGAGAAGGTGCCATGGCCTGGCTCTCTCAGCATCCTCCTCGCCGCATTCCCCAGGACACCAAACCGCCACGACAACAGCTGCTCTATACATGTTTTGTCCATAAGCTATGCATCTGTGTGTGGTTATCAGGAATAATAGGGGCCATACTTCCTCCCAAGAGTTCTATTCTTCCAAAACTCACAATTGAAAAACATATATTTGAAAGGGCAGGTTTAAACTGCAAAGCAAAGGCAACTTCAGAGACAAAAAACTGAAGCTGTCACTTTTTCCCAGAAAGTTGAATTATTTATAACACACTCAAACTGTAAATAGTGAAATACACATACTTAACAGATATCCATAAGAGTAAAAATAAAGTACACCAGGCAATAGCACACCTTGGTGATGAATAAAATTGACATAGAGAGTGACAGAAAGATAAAATAGAAATAAAAACAAAAAACATTTTTTGGAAGATCCTCCGGTGAGTCATTGATGGTAATTAATCTTTATAGTCGCACAGAGCTAAATGACAGAGGAGGTGCTGAAAGCCAAAAATTCAAAAGCGAGGTGGGGAAGGGGGGGGGAAACGGGGAAGTCAAACACGTTTAACGGGATCAATGTGCAGGCTTTGCCGGCACATCCATGGGCCCCCGCTCTCGGTGCCCCCCTCCCCCAGCACTTCAAAGAGCCGACATGGACCATTTGAATTTCTAATCCTGATCACATCGACAAGCTCTATGCCTAAGGCCCATACAAAAAATCCACACCCGGAAAGTAGGCCGCTCCTCAGTGGGGGGGGGGGGATCTGGTTTTTATTTTTTATTTTTTAACACTGACCCTGCTTCAAGTAAAAACACATTTTGAAATATGCAATAAATATTAAATGCGGGCCTTTATCTGCATTTTGACATTCTAGGTGTGCGCCCCCACCCTTCCTGAGGAGCTAATGATAACCACGTAGCAGTGATTTTGTCGTTGGCAGGCTGAGCACATCGTCGGCCTCTTGGTACCGGAGGCTTCCCATCTCGTCTCTCCCAGACAGTTTGCGATCGCTGCATTGCAGAGCTGCAGTCAGGCCCTTATTATAACCATGCGTCGTTATCTGCCCTGTGGTGAGTGGCGTCGCAGGAACACCCGCCTGCTAACACACCCGCAGCCAGGTTAGCTGACACGCTGCCTCAGCAAAGGCGTCGAAGCCACACAGCTTTGCGCGCCTTACCTAAGGCATGTTGCTATTTGGATCGAGCGCTTAGCTCAAGGGTACAACAGCCAGCCCCTTCTCAAGGATGGGTGCCACTTGCTAACTGTCTAAAAGTGTATTCTTCTATTCCAATACACCATCTAATGGGAGCCAGATTTACTTGGTTCAAAAAACAACAACTAACAAAAATGAAAACCTTTCGAGATTCATATTGAAATCACGCGATTATCTTCATCCTAATTTAACCGCACGTACATAAACAGCGGTGATTCTAAGCTCCGCCCACTGTTGGCTTACCACTTTCAATCTGAATAAATAAGGATACCAACAATACAATTTGCCAGGGGAGGGGTCTCAAAGTATAAAATTTGTACGAAATGTGTACAAAAAATATGGGACAAATCACTGAATGGATATAGAAAAGAAAACATTTTTGGGGGGGAGGGGGACTGAGATAAATAATAGGCCGGCTGACACCCCCTAAAGAGGGCCTAAAATCACATATGTACATAGAAAATATCATGACGGTTTCCTGCGTAATTCAGGTATCAGGAAAAGTAGCCCTCAGATTTCCCTTCTCTAATGAAATGCTAATAAAGAAAAGGAGCAAAAAACTTTAAAGGATTTAGGCCGCAGGCCTCATTCGTCAGCACGGACCGACAGGATCCCGAGGCGGAGAGGTCAGAGAGGTTAGCGGCGGGCAGATTGCTCATGAGGAGGCTCTGCGGAGGGCACGCGGCGATCGACACCCAGGCACCACGCTGGGATCGATGCGAACAGAGCCGCTCCGAGAGGACAAGCTGGCAGAGGGCACCGTCTGTGAAGTGTCTGCCCTGGACCACACACACACACACACACACACACACACACACACACACAGATTCATATATTAATGGGGACTCTCCATTCCAACATGAACCCTTACCCAGCCTAACCCTACCATAAGTAACAAAAAAAATACCTGTCAGGATCAGAGGTGCTAGTCGTTCCACTCGTTTTTGTGTTTAGTTCCTGCCACAGTCCCTAGTGTGGTTCTCTGTTCAACAAGGCTGCTGAGTGGCTGAATGGACTGGAGTGGGCGTGTATCCAGCTTCGGTGGACGTCTAAGTTAGTACGTAGTAGCCTATGTTTATTGTCTTCTTATGTTTGTGTATTTCTGTATTAGCTTGTGTTTTCATA